GTCCTGGGCCTGTACCTGACAATAATATCCTTTCAAAAAAACAGAGACTGTGGATGCGTCTGGCTTTCATAACAGGATGCAGGATAATACTGAGGCACTGGAAGTCATCCAGCCCCTGTTCTCTCAGGGAATGGACTGAACAAATGTCTAAGATGGCATCATATGAACGGGTTATGTACAGAATTAAGGGGAGAGAAGATATTTTTGAGCAGGTCTGGGGTCCTTTTTTGTTGTACATCGACAATGTCTCCTAGATATTGTGATAAATGTTCTTTTTGGGGGGGTTCATGTGTCATTGGTATCTTTGTTGTTGTCTTTTTTTTTTACTTTGAAAGTCAGTAGAGGGAAGAAATTGTCTAATGTCATCAGTGGTCAAGGTTATGTTTTGTTTTTAGGCACCCGGGTGTTTTGCCCCCATTGCTTTTGTTTTTGCTGATGTTTCCCAGGAGGCGGTATATCATTTTGTTTCTCCTGGGCTTTTTTTTTGTTTGTTTGTTTGTTTGTCTTAGTTATTGTTAGTCCTTATTTGTTGGTTGTTGTTAAGAAACGGACAGAGAACTGACAGTATGATTATTCCAGTTGTATATTTGTTAATGTTTCTGTCCATCCAAAATATGAATAAAAAAAAAACAAAGAACTAAAGAAAGAGAGAGCATATTTCTCCTGTTTTGGCTTCCCTTCATTGGCTTCCTGTTAAATCCAGAATTGAATTCAAAATCCTGCTCCTCACATACAAGGTCTTAAATAATCAGGCCCCATCTTATCTTAATGACCTTGTAGTACCATATCACCCTATTAGAGCACTTCGCTCTCGCTCTGCAGGCCTACTTGTTGTTCCTAGAGTATTTAAAAGTAGAATGGGAGGCAGAGCCTTCAGTTTTCAGGCCCCTCTTCTGTGGAACCAGCTTCCAGTTTGGATTCAGGAGACAGACACTATCTCTACTTTAAGATTAGGCTTAAAACTTTCCTTTTTGCTAAAGCACGGTCAAGTTTCTCACTCTCTATGTGTTAATAGACCTCTCTGCATTGAATCATATCTGTTATTAATCTCTGTCTCTCTTCCACACCATGTCTTTATCCTGTTTTCCTTCTCTCACCCCAACCGGTCGCAGCAGATGGCCCCCCCCCCCTGAGCCTGGTTCTGCTGGAGGTTTCTTCCTGTTAAAAGGAGTTTTTCCTTCCCACTGTCGCCAAAGTGCTTGCTCATAGGGGGTCATATGATTGTTGGGTTTTTCTCTGTATCTACTGTACAATATAAAGCGCCTTGAGGCGACTGCTGTTGTGATTTGGCGCTATATAAATAAATTGAAGTGAACTGAATTGGGTTATTTCATGTTCTATTAACTTAATATCTTTGAGCCAATGTTAAACTTGTATATGTTCTGAGTGTATGGCTGACACAAAAGCAAAACTTTCATGCCACAGGAAGATCAGAAGAACAGCATTCGTGTTTTTTCTTTTTAAACAAAAGGTCTGATTTGTAGAATATGCAGGCAACAGCATGCCAAGGCCCAGTGTTTCAGTGCACAGGGGTAAACCCAAGCTGAGGAAAGATACAAAACCTGTATTGATCTTGCAGGGAGGGAAAGTGTTTGTTAGTGTAGTGCACCACATTCCACACAGCATCCCTGTGACAGAAATTACACGAGGAGAGAGGGAAGAAAGAAGGTCAGAAGTTTGAGGGTTGAGGTCAAAGGTCACAGTCCAAAGGAAGGGGACTCCATTTGTCAGGCATGACTATATTACCATCCGGTGTTAGGAGATTGAGGAAGGTGAGAAAGCACGTAACTCACCTGGGTCTAAGACAGAAAACAAGCTAGGCAGGAGTGAGGAAATTTGTGAAGTAAGCCAGCTTCGTTATAACACATTTTACTGTTTGGTAATCTTGTGTTGTCTGATAATGTATCTCTGTAAAGTAAATATGAAGGCACAGATGTAGACATCTGAGAAGTATCTGTTCACTCAGTGCCCTTCAATGCATCTAGCCTCCCACTGTGTCCAGATGGACAAAATCATGTGTTACAGAGTAACTACAGCGGATCATCTGCACAGGCTAAGCTCCACCAAGAAACCAGAAAGGATTTTTGAATTATCCATTTCCCAGGTGTGAAGTTGAGTGCTCAGGTGGAGCTGTGTGTTCATTTGTGCCTGCACAGCATGCACAATTTCATTATATGCATACAATACACTGGGATTTCCGTGTGTGTGTGTGTGTGTGTGTGTGCATGTGTGTGTGTGTGTGTGTGTCAGCATGATTGGTTGCAAAGGTGTGAAGGTCACAGATGCAGATGAGTGCGGTTTGGTTTGGGGAGCAGTGGAGAAAGGAGGGTCGCGGAAACAGGTACAAGCTGCACAGATCTGGTTTCAGGCTGCTTCACTTTCAATTCAACCTCATGAATTCTTTATGCAGACCATCACTATAGTTATAAAAAATTAGAGTTTACTCTTTGAATTTGTTATTTTTAATCATTAAAACAAAGCTGAAGTGTGATTTCTGTTGCAAGGGCCATCCTTTCAATGGGCCATATTGACCTTCCAGTCATCAGGTTTAGAGCTACAGTACTACAAGTATGTAGCAAGAGCTCTAAATGGAAAAAAAAATGAAGCTTAATTTGATAAAATTCAAACCTCACATAACAAGAAAAAAATTGCAAGATCAACATAATATTATTGATGTTCTCATTATTGATGTCAGTTCAAGTTAATCCCCTGCTTAGTTTAAGACAGTGTTTCAACATGAATTTTGCACTTTTTAGTTCATATTTGTGAAAATTTCTCAAGATTATGTATAGGCCTTGCAAATCCCAGCAAGACAATACTGGGTCTATTACAACAGAAGAGTCGGTTGCTGAACTAGCCTGCCTACAATCTAGGTTGTCAACCAGTTGAAAACATTTGGTGTATCATGATGTGAAAAATACAACAAAGAAGACACAGTGCTGTTGAGCAGCTAGAATATGATATTGGACCAGAAAGAGACAAGATTCTTCACCCAAAAGTCCAGCAGTCTTCTCAGTTGCCAGATATTTATGGCATTTGTTTAAAAGAAGAGTATGTCCTTTTTTTCTGGTAATTTTGAGATTCATAAGTCATAATTAGGAGATAAAACCTTCCTTTAGTGGATGCTTATGTGTGTTGAAATCCTATTTTAAGTGGAAAAAATAAATTTTGTAACATTGTATAAGTCCTGCTTATAGAGTGTTACATGCCAGTGTTAAGGCTGTTGACCAGTTAACACCAGCCCTTCTTTTTTGTAAGTACAAAAGGGCTGAAAAAAGTCTCCGTTTTAGAATTGCTACTCATCTAATTGGCAATGAATATATGTTACACGCACTCACCTTGTAGGCATGAAGATGTGGAAACTTTATTAGCCTCAAGAATCCGTTGTTGCAGTTGTACTGGGGACTTAAACAAATTAATGTAATAGTTTCGTGAGGTTTTATTCTTTTGGTTGATGCATAATTTGTGCAATTTGATTTCTAATAAGCCAGTGCCATTCAAAATATAGTAACAGATTTCTCCCTCATACATTCCCTCTTAGGCTAGCCATTGGGAAAGGGGTAGCATTTTACCCAAATGCAACCGGATTGAACCTACTCAAATTTGGCTTGCTTTGCTTTCAGCAGAACTCCCTGATGCTGTAACAAACAAACTGTTTAATCCTTGGACCCTTGATCAAGAGTGTAGAAACAGGGAGGATCATAAAGGTCAGCAAGTCGCTACAGAAATCACACAAAAAATCTTGGGCGGAAAAGAGGCAAGGACAAATTCTCTTCAATATGTCTTTGGCTTTAGATTTGAAAGTGAGTCCACCATCACCTTGTATTGTAGAATACCTGCTGCTGCAGATCAGTCCAATATGAGCTAGAACAGGACAGGATGAAGTGAGATGAAAAAGCAAGATGATTAAACTTTAAGATGAACACTGTCTTTATAACAATAGGTACCTAATTCAGTTATTTTAAAAATGATGATACATTTTTGATAGCCAACCAATTTTGCTATAAATGTTTGTCCCTATACTGTAATATTATTTAATAAAGACACCCTCTGTTGGTTGAACCTTCCACACAAGTTACTCCATCTACTGACTGATGTAGGCTCTGGTATGAAAATGAATGGGATACATGTGAGCGTAACACATTAGCTCTTTTTATTTTTCATGCCAGGAGGGAATGCATTACAATCCAACTGCCTTTGTGATCTTGGATATATTTTAAAACTGAAAAAATTTTGAGATTAGTTTTTTCTTATTGGATATAACTAGGTTCATGCCATGTGTCCTGCATTAGGGCAGGAAGGGCAAGAAGTGATATTTAATAATTTCTCCCAAATTAAGCCTGCATTGGCAAAATGCTGCACACGTCCTTAATCCAATTAATCACATGCCTGTGGTATACATTTTCCCAGAGGTCATGTATTGAAACTTTAAATAGACTGTGTTTAAATAGCTCAATGTGTTTGGAAATTTAAGGACAATAAGTACCGCCTCATATCTCTAAAATATGTTGAGTAATTGCAGCCATTCTCAAAAACAAACATCAGGATTTTGTGCGAGAGTCTAAGTTCAACACTCTCATGATGTTGCTTTTCTACCTGTGTGGTATTGCTGCGATAAACATTGCTGTTAGCAAAGTATTTATACCCCAAGCAGATACATAAATGGCATTTTTCTACAAGATGAGGACCTTACTGCAATGTTAAGTTGCGGCATTATCACACACATACAAGAGCAGCTCCATGTTAAAGTTGCAATCCTTCTTTAGTTGTCATCGAAAACCGTCTTCTGAGTTCTATAACTAGAACTGGAAAAATTTATGTAGTCTGGTCAAAATCATCAAATCCATATAACCACAACAGCCATTCACAGTCCAACATATCAAGATTGAGAAAAGGGCAAATACTGGGGTGGTCATATGGTCAAGATTTCTTCTCAACAATGCTGTTCTGCCTCAATATACTACCATAGAATGAAATATCAAAAAATATAAGGATTGTACCTTTAAGTGTTTCCACTGATAAGACCTATTAGAGGGATATTTCCAGGTTCCACACACTGCAGCACCCACATGACACATGGAACAAGAATCCGTGGTTAATAATAACAGCATCGTTAGACATGAACAAGAAAATTGATTTTAGCAGTAACATCAGGACATGGCAGACAAATTATACAACAATAGACATGTGAATATATCATCAATATTATCAATTATCTCGTTGCACACAAACAACATTTGAACCAGTATGTAGTAGTTTTACCCATCAGCTACACACAGCATTATTGTGGTGCTTGTCAGTGAAGTAAAGAATCAAATTCTCTTAACATCACATGCATTAGCAGTATTACTAGCCTGACATGGCAAACTGGACTTCACAAAGTCATATGAGTACAGGGAGTAGCATGTGATTGCTGGAGAAATGGTTACTTTATTCAGTGATTTGCACTCACATTGCTTCATCAGTTGGGAAATCAAACCAATATTACATGACCTGCTGATGTTTAGTCTGGGCGGAAGTCAAACACCTCATCAACTGATCCTTTTCTCCCCAAGCTTTTTTAAAAAGTAGCTTCAGTTCAGTTTTACTGCTTATTTATGTGTTGTAATTAGATTAATGCAATCTATTTACATGTAATCCAATTATCTCCCCATACCACCTGCCCTGTGCTCACCAGTAGAGATAGTAGAAGAAGGAAAGGACGAAGAAGGACAGCTTGCACCAGGCCTCCTTCAGGCAGAACTTGAGTGTGTCGCCATTCATCACGGACGCTGGGTCGTACAGCAGCTCCTTAGTGTCCGTTGGGGAATGGAAGTACCTACCACAGAGGGCAAAGACCACACCACGGGTAGTTGACCCATTCCAGACCACGTGAGAAGGGGTGGGACATGTGGGAGAGATGATGGGTGGAAGTGGAGGAGAAGACAGCATGGAAAAAGATGGCATGATGAGTTTTGAGGTACACCATCATGCAGAAGACATGGGTGAAATTGCAGTTGAATATGTTGATGGAAACAAATCTTTTGATAAACCTTTCCCCTTCATAGTGATTGCTCATGGTTTAACAACTAATTCTAGCTATGAAAAACCTGTCAAGCGTTTGGACTTTATCTGCCCTATTAGCAGCAAATGATACATTCTAGCTTGCTCACAACCTTTAAAAATCAAGGCATTTATCAAAAGGTACCTAAAAGATTAGAAACTAGTCGAGCATGATGGGTCAGAGTTATTTACTGGTCGTATTTTTTCTCTTTTTAATGCTGGAGTTAAATAATAAGATCCTCAAAGTAAAACACATTTATAAATGAGTTTACAGCTAGCATCCAAAGTTTTTTGAAGAAAACATTAAGAGAATTTTAACAAATGTGCAAATTATCTACTGAGGAAGTCAAAACCACTACTGCTTCAAAATTCATGTATTTTGCCATTTGGTAATTTTTACACGGCCTCAGAGTGAGCATTTCCAGTGTGATTCATATAGAAATAAAAGATGATTTTTTTATAGATATGGTAGAGCTGATACATGATAGTCCAGCACCTAATAATTCAATAAAGAATGCTAACTAGTGTTAATGCTAATAAGCTAGCTAGAACACAATGATCTGCTATGACGTGATAGTTAACAACATTGACGAAAGCTTAAACGGATGTTCCTTATCACTCTATGCTGGGAAGAAATCTGACCTTGATTTACTATCTGTTATTAATACTGTGACACTTTTTAAATATTATTGTAGGAAAGCAGTGCTAGCTGTGAAAGGGAGGCAAGGTTTAGCAGCTACTTGACTCTGGAAATATCCCAGGAAATTTGACTTATCTTGCAGGAATTCCCATTTTCAACAAAGTGAGCAAAATATGACATCATATTTGAATAGATATCCAAATATATTTTCACCCAGGTCTGTTATGCACTTCTAAAAGTATCAGGGCTGGGGTTTTTCAACTCAGTTAGCTCATTAAGCTAACAACAAATTCAATAGCAGTAGATTAAATATATAAACTTTATTATGAATTTTCCACTAATTTTTCCTTTCTTCAACTGAGACCTACTGACTGATTCACAAAATAAAGAGAAAATTCAACCCAACATCTACACATCCCAATGCTGTGCTTTTAACATAACCAATACTTGTGAACACTAACAGTTCTCTTCCTTAAAGCTGTGTACAAAGAAGATGTGCAGTGTAATCAGAACACAAAACTTAGTGTGATAGGGGAATTGTAAGATGTTTCCTGGAGCTTTTCAGTGAGACCTACTTCAGGATGGCTGTTCAAATTATGACATGGAAAAAATATTCTATACAGGAAACGAGACATGAGGAAGGAATTGCTGCCTGTTGCTTTAAGGGAGAGCTATTACTGATGCACATTGTCGATGGGGTAATTTTCCCTTAAACGACACCAGAACTGATATAAATGCACAGCAATCTGTAACATGGAGTGCTGTGTAACAATGCACCAGACCAGTTGCAATAAGAGAGTTGGCTTCAGGTTATTTTTCTGTCTCCTGCTGTGTTTTGCAGGATTTAATGGGAAATGAAGTCCAACCAGGAAGCTGCCATCATTATGTGGCTCAAGAGTTGGGAGTTCGCCTTGTAATCGGAAGGTTGCCAGTTCGAGCCCTGGCTTGGACAGTCTCGGTCGTTGTGTCCTTGGGCAAGACACTTCAACCATTGCCTACTGGTGGTGGTCAGAGGGCCCGGTGGCGCCAGTGTCCGGCAGCCTCGCCTCTGTCAGTGCGCCCCAGGGTGGCTGGGGCTACAATGTAGCTTGCCATCACCTGTGTGTGAATGGGTGGATGACTGGATATGTAAAGCGCTTTGGGGTCCTTAGGGACTAGAAAAGCGCTATACAAATACAGGCCATTTACCATTTAACTGGTATTTCTGCTTTGAACCAAAGCTAACAGATGGCTTATGTTCATACTTTATGGTAATCCATGTATATTTTCCATTTACAACTCTGAGATGGTTGTACATTTAGGTGTCAAAAATGAATTACATTGTAAATTCACATATTTACATATGTTTGCTGATATGTCATGCATATATGAAATATTCAACAATGCATTTGAAAATGAGCACCACACAAGGGTTCAGTAATGTCCCAACTATACATTACTGAGGATGAGGTGAACATGTCTGGGTAATCATTAAGAGTCTACTAAATAGCTAATTTACATACTAAAAATATCATTAATAATTGAATAATAAATGGAAGTCCCTCGAGTAAAGGTGACAGATGAGACATGAAAACATTTGAGACACACTTCTTCCTTTATGCTAGACATAGAGATGTTTGGTGTTAATAATTTTGTTCACACATAACAAACAGCACTCTCTCGCTTGCTCTCTAACTCACACACACAGACACACTCTTTGGGAAGGATTCAGCTGGCAAGCAAAGAATTTTAACAACAACACTATAGTGGCCAGGCTGTCTTGGAATTCCCTCTACAACTCCCTACATTGATATTATAGCATGCTAAACTAGTTTTTAAATAATCAAGAAAATATCCCTCACGAATGGACAAGTTGTCAGTTACATCACTGCAGGCTGTATGTAATTACGGTTGCTCTACCGAGGCCTTAATGTTCCTTGTAGCATATGTAGATCTACTTTTGTACTGTGACTTTAACATCCAAAGGATAATTTGCAAAGTAGACAGGCAGTCCTACAGATTATTTCAACTAAGTTACAAGAATTCTGACATTTGAAGATTATTTGTTACAAAATTAAACCTTCTCCAGTTATTTCTTTTCTCTCTACAGACTCAGTCCAAGATCCTAGCTAAATACTTTACGCTTTCTGGGGGTTAAATTGCAAATGTTGAAAATTTGTAATTCTCCCACCACGTGACTAGAATAAGATCCAAGATTTTAGAATTTAGATAGACTAATTAGGTTTTGTGAGAATCTCAAAAGAAACTTGAAACTACCTGACATGAAAGTTAACCATGACATGGTTAACTGTTCCAAGCCATCTTTACATATTGGTAAATAGCTTACTATCAGCTGTTTTTATGAGAAATCTCATTACAGTAGTTATTAATACATTCACTCCCCCATCCACAGCCTACTGTCCTCTCGCCATCACTCACTCTCCTCTGAATAACCCTGTCAATAATTGATCTTTCACCCATCACTCACTCACTTTCTCTGTTCTACTTCCTGCCAATCCCTACTTTCTCCCCATCTTCTTTTCCCTGTCTACTCATCTTTCAGCTCACACATCAGTAGCTGGTGGGCATCTGCAAACTCTGCAGTTAATGAGATAGCAAAATGGTTTTTTTCTTCTTTCCTCTCCTCTTCTTCTGTAACTTCAACCAGCTGAGCACACGAGCTTGAACCAATGATGCTGCCAGCAGTCCATTTCTATCCCACTAACCAGCGGGAGGACCAGCAACAAAAATGACAACAGATAAGAGGGAGCAGCAAAGGAAACATGAAAATCACTGAGTGGTGACTCATCTTTTAGACTCTGCATTTAAGAGTCTTGAAAAGCAAAGAAAAATGTACTTGCAACAAATATGGATTTGCTTATACAAAACCGATGTTCTCAAAAATCTGGTCAATTATGCTTAGGCAATATCATGGTATCACGGTATAACATGATTTTTCATTTCTGACTATTAAACTCTGTTCAGGTGATGAAGTGAGGGTTCTGAAGTGTGCTGCAAAAAGCAGTATTTAACCATGGACTAAAATAGAAAGAAAATAGAAAATCTGAATGTAGCAAGCATTATGTTATCTACTAATTTGTGAAGTCCCATACTAGCCATCTCTAAAAATTTGTGACGGTCACTAGCCAATCAGCATACCTTGGTTTACCCTCCTTTCTGACACTCACAATTACCCTTAAAAATCATGCTGTTTTATCAATGACTTAAACTAGCAACTGAGTCGATAAAATCATCAGGAGAGTGTTTAATGTGGTCCAAGAAAAAGGGAGCACAAGGCCGTTTTTTGGCCACAAATCTCAGGCCAGAAATTGCCCCAGTGCAAGTTGGAGGTCATTGCTCAACAAAACCAACATAACCATCTCATTGATAAAGCACAGATATGACCACTGTGATTACTGAACCAGACTCCTTTCACTCATTTTCTGTGTTTAGAAGTTCCATACACAGAAATTATGAATAGAATTAGTGACAGAGAGCAGTCCAATTTCCAGCAGTCCAACTTATTGCTGGCAATACAGCTATAGCCCTGGCCATGGTTGAACAGGGATCGGCTAGCCTGTAGCCATACTCCTGTGACTCCCTCAGGACACCATGGGGGACAAAGTTTTATGCATTCTCCACAAAACACATATAAACTGGTTAGGGAAACTCCCAAGCACCCTGAAATATCCTACACAGGATGAAGAACTGGTGCAGTGTTTAATGACCAGCATGCATTGTTCTTCCAGAATTGCTGGTTCAACTAACAGATGGACTCTCCTCACCTGTACCCTAGCATAGACTTTCCCAGTCAAGCTGAGAAGTATGATACACTTAAAGTTGAAACATGCTCTCCAATCCCCCTTCTTGAAGAGGGGAACCACCACCTCAGTCTGCCAATCCAGAGGCACCATCCACGCAGTGTTGCAGAGGGGTGTCCGCCCTGACAGTTCACAACATCCAGAGCCTTGAGAAACTCAGGGTTAATCTCATTCACCTCAGGAGTTCATCCACCAAGGAGTTGATTAACTGCATCAGTGACTTCACCTCCAGTGAAGGGTGAATCAGCTTCTTCGTCTCCACACTCTGCTTCCACTACGAAGTAGTGCCAGTGGGATTGAAGAGATGCTCAAATAATTCTTCAATCATTTGACTATGTTCTTGAGGTTGAGGTTAGCAGAGTCCCATTCCTACTGTATACAATGTGGATAGGGAGCTCCTTCCCCTTCCCTGAGCTAGTGCCTAACTGGAGTTTTTGCCTTGAGCTGTACTCTGGAATCACATAAGTTGCCATGCTCAACAGGACCACTTCTCCAGCTTGACAGCTCTCTTCACCTCCAGTATCCACCATCTGGAGATTACAGCCAAAACATGGAGCATAACATACAGCCTCAAGTCACCTCTGCAATAGAGGTGCTGAAGATGGTCCATTCAGACTCAACGTACCAAGCTTCTGTCAGAATGCTTTCAAAGTTCTATCAGAGGTGGGAGTTGAAGATCCTGCAGACCGGGGCCAGCACATCCTCACTATTCACATCTGGATGTGTCAGTCCTGTCCAGTATTCTCCCCTGCAGCTGACACCTCTGCTCCTCTTTTCACTCACGTGTCTAGAACATATGCGTGAAGATCTGATAATACAATTACAAACTCGATCATTAACCTTAAGCTTAGGTTCTCCTGGTGCCACGTGCACTTATGAATACTCTTATTTTTGAATGTGGCGTTCATTATAGACAAACTGTGATTACCACAAAAGTCAAACAACAGAACAAGATTTGGTTTCAGATCATTGTTAACTGTTTGACTGTTGTTTAAGATTTTTGGGGTATGGAGTTGTGGTTCAAGGTAGTTTTAACTGTGTGGTCAAGGCCACATCTTCTTGCTATCATTCCTTACCATAATAATAAGAGGTAAGTTTACTTTTAATTTTTCTTGGATAAATGTATTCGTAATGTGAATTTGCATGGCATTTATTCGGCTCTGGTAGGATGAACTGGCGCTCTGTACTGAGCTGTTAATAAGCAGTCAGGTTTTGAAAACCCTGTATTTGTATTTTTTTAATATCCCTGGTGACCATTAAAGCAAAGTTATAGATTTTATGACATTCGTTAGATAGGAGGTTTAAAACTGCCCAAACAGAGAAGTACTTTGAATACATCCAGACAGAAAAAAGGGTTCTAGAATTAAAGTAGTAAACTATAAGACTTCTTCTTAAGCAATGGTTGAAAATTGTGCACTAACATAAAAGAGGTTTATAGCATTAAGTAGCATTTTTATTCATGTTGTATTGCCACTATTGCGCAATACAATTATCATTTATTTAGTTCTCTTTAACGGCTCGGTATAAGTAGTTTACAGAGAAATTTTGCTCAAATGACAGAAAAAGTACATCTGTTGGTTACTGTTTCCATCTCAGGATTTATACATATATTGTGCAGTAGTAAGTATTTATAACAGCAGGATAAGGGATTCACTTCAAATAGTGCTGAAATAAAACATTAATGTCTGGCTACATATATTGTATATGTTAGGTGAAAAATTCATTGCTTGAGTCTCTTGCTAACAGATTTTCTTATAAATAAAATAAAATATCTGAATCATAAGCCTCATCTTTTAATGCAAATGTCTTTGGGTCAAAACAACCTTAGCCAATAAGATGCCATCTGAAAAATCAGGGCAAAGTGTACACATTCACACAGATACACACGGGACGATGGATTGGATAGTTACCTCCACGTGTTGTAGAAGAGCAGGGGAATGTTAAGGCCCACAGTCAGCCACTCCTGAGCACACAGGAACATGATGCAGAACAACACATGGATGGAGTACTCTGGCAGCACCAGCTACAGGACAGAGAGAAATAGGAGAAAAATCGATTGCTAAAGTTAAAGACCTTTTCAGCAGGCTTATTGTCATGGTCCGGGTGAGCACGGGGTTTTTCCACTCCGCTGGGTTCTACCTTCAGGCAGAGACTCCAATCAGCTTCCACACCTGGTTCCAATCAAGTCACCTGCATATAAGACCAGCATTCACAACAGACCTCTGCCAGATCTTCTGCTAACCCATGTCAGTGCTAGGCTGCGAACCCCTTGTGAGAACCCTCAACTACTGCTTTTTCCCTCACCGTGTTTTCTTTGTCATAGGACCCACCTGGCAGTCACGTTTCCCGAACTACTCTCATCTCTGCCTGGACGCTGGTTCTGTCATCTGGTTTCTTCCTCTCCACCATCGGACTACACCTGCCTGCCTCCCTGCCAAGTCCCTCACTCCACGCATATTCTGGATCCTCTCTGGACACTCCTCACCCGGAACCCCCTGGACACCCCTTCCTCGCATGACACTTTAAACCTGCAACGCGTAAGCCCTAACCTCCATAGCCTAAACCTGCAGCTGTGATTCACTGGACTGCCACTGACTACTTGTCTCTTCTCATTATAGTGACTGCGTACCTCCATCCAAGCCGCTGCCCCTTTTTTCCATCCGTGAAATCCAGCACCTAGCCATAGCACTCAGTTTCATGTTCACAGTTTGGCCTCACAGTTCACAGTTCATAGCATTTCATAATTCATAGCATTCATAGTCTCCTGTTGTGTAATTTCACTAGACACTTGTAAATAAAGCACTGTGTTCACGCCCGTTTGCCTCCCTCTGTGTCTGCATTTTGAGTCCACACCCACAGCCGGGCCCTCTCGGCCGTAACACTTATGTCTCCTTGTTGCATTATTTGGCACCATTGTTATCAGATATTGGGTGAGTGGCATTTGCTTTAAGACAAGGACTGAGTGATAGTCCAGAACTATATTTAATTAAACACAATGGCAGTTGGTGAGCAGATGCCACATTATCATTTTAATTCCCATCAGTGCAGGAAAACACTTCATTGTTAGCATTTAAACCCTAACCCAACATATATTTACCCATTAAAAATCTGCTTATATGCAATTCCCCCAATTCATAATACGGAGAGCTTTGCGTCATAATGGTTATTTCATATTGATGGCAGAGCTTCGTTGTTATTGTTATTGTCATAATTGTTAAATATTAAAATACATATAAATTTCCTTTTAAATATTAACATGTCAAAGTATCTTTATTTATCCTTTGCTTTTTGTGGTTCAGTTACTTAAGTTACTTTAGGTCAAACTAAACAGATATATATTTGCCTGCCAAAGGAGTTGGCGTGCAATCAGCATGGCTAAAATTGCTTGTCATGCAAATCCCTGTGAACACCTGAATACCCAGTATTTTTGTCCACTGAAATCAGTGGCAGCCTTTTACCACTTTACGAAATATAATTCACAAAGAAAGCCACTTCACTTTTCATGTATATTTAACAGCATACAGGGCGATGAATTCAAAACCACCTGGCCTTGAACATTGCTCAGTACGCTGCCATAAAGAGGCAGTGTTCAGGATGCATTATTCAGACTGCTACACGTTTCCTAATAAAGGAGAAACACATTTCCATTGAATAGCTCTTTAAGTGCAGGAGACCAGAAATATGCTGCTAAGACAAAACCTAAATATATCGATTCGAGTTCACACATTGGGAAGGGATGCTCCACAAAATGCACAACGCACATGCCAATGCAGCATTCATGTTGTACATTGACAACAACACAGACACACACACACTCTGCTCCCACCTGGGATAACAACGTATTAAAATACAAAGAGTGACACTGAGCTGAACAGCAGCCCTCTTGTTCAAATCCTTAATTCATGTTGGTTGACAGCACAGATGAAAGTATAAACACAATCCATCAGCGCAGAAGACACGCAGGAAAACTAAGCACTTAAAACTTTTTTCCTGTTCTCTCAATGTTTAAAAGGATTTTAATGTACCTAAAGGCCTTGTTTAATGGTGTGACACTGGTCGCAAAATTGTAAAACAAGAGTAAACTCAGACGAACAAATGTATAAAATATATTATGTGTAATTCTGAATACTCTCAAAGGTATTTAAATGGTTTTTTTGTGCGTACAAATGTGTAAATATCTGGGCAAACAGGAATTTGACCACAAGAGGAAAACTACAGGTAACATCAGGAGGGCGTTCTACATGCTGGAAGATTTTTTTGGGACCAAACTTAAGAAAAAGCTCTCTTTCTGGAGAAGGTTGGCTACTAAGTATAAAACTCAGATTTTTCTACTGGGGGAATCCCACTAGAAACCAGTAGCCATGATAGTGTGAACAAGTCTTTTCTTTGGTCTGTTTGTTTTTAATTTCTTTTTCTTACTAGAACACCCTGTTGGCTGCTAAAGTGGCGACATCATACCTTCTTAAAAAACTGCACAAAAAGTGTTTCAGGTGACAACACACATTTAGTTGACCTTCTAATGTCTACAGCTGAAAAAAAAAAACAGCAACCAGGCACTGCAGCATCTGTTTACATTCTTACAAATGGGCATTCAGACAAACAAAAGAGTTAAATCAAATGGTCTGATCACAAACTACTTAGTCAAGGTCAGCTGAGGAGTCAGCTATATTTGTATGAACAGCTGTTTAGGAATTTGTCATCCTAATAAACTACTATTTTTTTTATTGTGTGCTGTCACATCCAACTTGGTGACCACATAGTATAGTGGTTTACCCATTTGCATTACAAATAAAAGGTAGTTGGTTCAATTCCAACCAGAGACAGAAATCCCCTCTGGGCCAATGTCAGAAAGGGAAGCAATGACAACTCTGTAGAGCTTCCTGCTGTGATGGTAGCTTCTGCTTTTTCACAATCATAAGTGCATAGAGCTTACTACTGAGATTGCCATTACTGCAACCACATACATGAATCTGTTATCCATCCATCCATTCGCTTCCGCTTATCCTTTTCAGGGTCGCGGGGGGCGCTGGAGCCTATCCCAGCTGTCATAGGGCGAGAGGCGGGGTACACCCTGGACAGGTCGCCAGTCTGTCGCAGGGCCAACACACAGGGACAGACAACCATTCGCACTCACATTCACTTGCACATTCACACCTAGTGGCAATTTGGATTAATCAATTAACCTATCCCCACAATGAATCTGTTACAGCTTTATAATTTATTTCATGGCTCAGAATGGAAATGCAGAAAAATAACGAGAAATGCAAATAGCGATAATTATTAAACCCATTATAAAGTGTTGGCAACTGATGTTGTGATTCAGTGCTGTTTAAATAAAACTGAATTGAATTGAAAAAAAATTTATAGACTATTGCCACCATTTTTGTGTTTGCTATGCACTCAAGGGTTGAGTTTTATTTAGAATTAGGGTTCAGATATAGAGTTGTGAAGGTTAACATTAGGGTACGCTTGAGAACACATTATTCATCAGCCATCGGATGTCTTCACATACACATATAAAAAAAATGTGTGTGTTGGAGCATATGCAATCAAATTACATGCTAATGGGTATCAAACTATATCTTTCTGAAGCTCTGTGTGTCTGTGTATGTGTTGACTGAAAACCCATCTGGGACTGCCTGGCAGGGACTGGAGATCTGTTTCTCTAGCTGTGGAGCCCAGGGGCCACCCTTACAACCATCTGATCCATCGTTTGTCAGTCTTCACATGGGGCTCTAGATTTTACCCCCATGTGAACACTTTGTAGAGCTTCCCCCACACTGAGCAGAGAGCACTCATGACATTTGTGCTATGACACTGAATGGATACATAAATGCACGAACATGTTTATTGCTGTGACTAAAATATAACAGGCACAAGTTGAAGATGCAATATGTGACATTACCATTGGTAGGAAACAACACCCCTGTAACACATGTCCAACCAAGCATCCGTCTCCAGGGCTGAAACATGAAGCCATTGTGGAGCTGCCAAGGATTGCACTTCTTCTGATTGCCACTTGAAGTTGTCACCAATAGTGAGTCAGTCACCATGGATTCCCATTTCGAAATGTTTACAGCAGGGGTCCCCAATCCCCGTCCGCAAGGGCCGGTGTCCCTGCAGGTTTCAGATGTGTTCTTGATCCATCACAGCTGATGTAAATGGCTAAATGACCTCTTGAAGTTCTCCAGAGACCTGGTAATGAACTAATCATGTGATTCAGGTGTGTTGACCCAGGGTGAGATCTAAAACCTGCAGGGACACCGGCCCTTGTGGACTGGGATTGGGGACCCCTGGTTTACAGCATAAAAAAAGCACGTTTGTAGTCTTGTTTAGCCTGGATATTGGAAGTGTTGCCTTTCATGTCAACTATATGTTGTATGTTGATTGATTTTTTTCTTGTATTACTGGAGATCAGGGTGTAGACACTTTGTTTCACAGATGTCCTTAAACAGGAAACTGTAGCTGCTAACTGTTTGCTAGGCCTCACCTTCCACTAACTGGAGCTGCTAACCTGTCCAATACATTTGTGCTGCAGTGTGCGAGAATGCTATCGTAGTATTTTAACAGTTCCTATTAAGCAACAATTTAGCAAGTGTTTGTTGACAGTGCACTGCAACTGTACAGTTTATGAATGATTGCACTAGCAAGCTTGCTAGTCAAGCTCCCTAGAGTTCACTGATAAATCCACCCACTGTTACTAATAGGGCTGCTTCTAGCGCCAAAAAAACCCCAACAGAAAATGTCAAGGTTCAAAATGCTTAGCCATCATGATGCCACCCACTGGTTTCGAAGTTTGTTTTCTATATATACATATACATACATAGAATATCTATGTATATGCAAAGCTACTGCATTGGATTGAATTAGTATGTCAAGAATTCATCATAATTTGCTGCAGCATTTACATCAGATTTAGAAAGTTTAAAAACAGCTTTATAGAGTTGCATCAGAAATTACACTCCTTGAAGTTACCACTCAGCTAAACCTCCCCCAGAATGTATAATTATAAACCGTGTGATT